GTGGTCCATCTAGTCCAGCATCCTGTCTCACAGAGTGGCCTCAACCAGTTCCTCCGGAGGGCCAACGGGCACAGAGGCTGAGGCCTTCCCTTGATAAGAACATCAGGAGAGCCCTGCTGGATCAGACCAGTGGTCCATCTACTGCAGCATCCTGCCTCACACAGTGGCCTCAACCAGTTCCTCTGGAGGGCCAAGAACAGGGCAGAGAGGCCGAGGCCTTCTCCTGATAAGAACATCAGAAGAGCCCTGCTGGGTCAGACCAGTGAGGGTCCATCTAGTCCAGCATCCTGTCTCACACAGTGGCCTCAACCAGTTCCTCTGGAGGGCCAGCAACAGGGCAGAGAGGCCGAGGCCTTCCCCTGATGTTGCCTCCTGGCTCTGGGATTCAGAGGTTGACTGCCTCCGAATGTGGAGGTTCTCCTCAGTCACCGTGGCCAGTAGCCACTGATGGACCGATCCTTCATGAATCTTCCTAATCCCCTTTTAAGGTTGTGTATTCCTGTGACCATCACTACATCCTCCGGCAGCAAATTCTTTACACTCTCGATGTAAACAACTATTTCCTTTTGTCCTTCCAGAACCTATCAGCTTCATTGAATGCTCCTGAGTTCTAGTGTTTTGGGAGGGAGATTAAAAAATGCTCTTTGCCAACTATCTCCACCTTATGCATAATTTCATAAACCTCTTATCACGTCACCCCTCAGTCGTCTCTTTTCTAAACTGAAAAGTCCTGGACTCTTCTGCCTCTCCTCTGAAGGAAGGTGCTCCATTGGTTGCCCTCCTCTGTACTTTTTCCAGCTCTGCAATGTCTTTTTTGGGATACAGGGACCAGAACTGTACACAATATTCCAAATAAGGCCACCCCATAGATCTATACAGGGCTGTGTTCCCTCTAAGCTGAGTTGCTGTTTGCTAGCTCAGTGTTTTTTCGGATCCGGCTCACACATTTCCGTCTTAGCTCAGGAAGGGACGGCTCCAGAGCAAAGTAATTTATGCTGTAGCCAAACTGCTCGCTCACAACTTTAATGCCAGTAGCTCACAAAGCGGAATTCTTGCTCACAAGACTCCACCGCTTAGAGGGAACACTGATACAGGGGCATTGCAATATTGGCCATTTTATTCTCAATTCCTTTCCTGATAATCCCTAACACAGAGTTCGCCTGTGCAGAAAAGGGCAACTCGAATGATAAGAGGGTTGGAACACTTTCCCTATGAGGAAAGGATAAAGCGCTTGGGGCTCTTTAGCTTGGAGAAACGAGGACTGAGGGGTGACATGATTGAGGTTTATAAGATTATGCATGGGAAAGAGCAGGTAGAGAAAGAGGTACTTTTCTCCCTTTCTCACAATACAAGAACTCGTGGGCACTCCATGAAATTGCTGAGCGGTCGGGTTAGAACCAATAAAAGGAAGTACTTCTTCACCCAAAGAGTGATTAACACTTGGAATTCACTGCCACAGGAAGTGGTGGCAGCTACAAGCATGGACGGCTTCAAAAGGGAATTAGATAAGCATATGGAGCAGAGGTCCATCAGTGGCTATTAGCCACAAGGTATAGACAGGGGCTCTGGGGCAAGTGATGCTCTGTCTTCTTGGTGCTTGGGGGGGGGGGTTAACAG